GTCAAACAGACTTTGGCCATCCAGAGTAGCAGCCTTGGGAATGCTTTCTACTTTTTTTTTTTATTTGCTTGCTTGCTATCCTGTTTCGTATGGGAGAAAGACCAAAAAACACCATTTACTTGCCCCCAGCTTAAAGAGGTGGGTACACATCTACATAGCTTTTCTCTTACAAAGTTGCTGGAAATCTCCATGTAAAGTAACAAAACGTCCAGCCTTACCAGTGCACCATACCCAACATGTGACTCCCAATAACCACAGAACAGTCTATATGAAATCTCTCCAAAGCACTGGATGATACCCAAATATTCAGCTGTATCTCACCTGGGAGCAGGGCAGGTAGAGTCTCCTGCCACTTCCCACCCTTCTGCTCATAGGTGACCCCTGTCCTGGGGGGTCTATGAGCACCTTCACTACGACAAGGTGTCTGCTAACAGTAACTGCTGTATTTGTGGGTACTCATCAAACAAGGAAAAAAATTACTTTATCTTTGTCAACTCTCTTTTATCCTATATGAGCTCCAAAAACATGAGGACCAAATTCTCCCTAACAAAGCCAAGTTTTCCCAGTCGCCCACCCTGTTTAATTCTTTAAATTATTTGTTGATATTGCTTCTGATTAGAAATTACTTCTCAGTGGTGGACTCATCGAGAGAGTCAGGCCTCAATGAAGTCCTTGGGTGTCACACTCTGTCATGGGCAGGAGCCTGCTCCCCAGGGCCACCACCACCACGATGCATGTGGCCTGCCTGGTAAGCTGTGTTTACCTGTAAGCCTGGTAACCTGGCCTGACAGCTGGGGTTTTCTTCATGGCTGACTATAGGGTATGGCTTTGACTCAACAGGTAAGCAACGTTCCTTCAGCAGCTTTAGCTGGGATTCACTTCTCCGTGGCCTCCGAAGTATTTCTAGCATGCCGCGTGCCTGCTGTTCCCTTGTTGGCTTCTCCAGGAGCAGAATATCAGGATGTGCCTTCAAAGTTAAAGCCAATGGTTAAAGTCAAAGTCAATGGCTACCAGCAATGTAGCCCAGTGCCTTGCAGGAGCAGTAACCCAAATCCTTCCCATCAGAGATCGATCCCTCCGTGAAGGACCTGCCCAAAGTGTCCTCGACGAGCACAGGACAGCCTGTGTCGAGCAGTGCTCACGCTGCATTGATTTCACTTGCTCCCAAACCAAACCATCCAAAGCCTCTCTCAACCTACAGTAATTATGTCCATCTCAAAGCCTTCCCTGCATGTCAATCTGTTTTTTTTTTAATTGCACCCTTTTTTTTTTTTTTTTTTTTGTGGCTAAGCCAACAGAGTTGTCTTTGGGGTGCCCACAATTTGCTAACAATTTGCTAATTTGCGAGCTGAAACGCTGTCCCGGGCTGTTGGGAGCTGTTTGTCCATCCTTGGTTTGGCTCCGAGAGCGTCTGCAACTGCTGCATGTCGCTCCGACACGGTGGCATGCATGTCACGAACAGCGAGAGTTGCCATAGCAATATCCTTTTTGTACAGAATTGCAGTGCTGAAAAGGCACTTAAATTCTCATGTAACTGGCAAAAGCATAAGTTTAGTGCTTTTTCTGACAGCTCTACCTAGCACTGCTGCAGTCTGGGTATTTTTGAAAGTATGTTAATTAGCAATTAAATAGGGTTTTTTTTTCCTTAAAGTATGGGATGTGGGGTTTTTTATTTTTATTTCTTTGATTCTTCTACTTTCTTCCCGCTAAGCTTTTGCCATCAGGTTCCAACCAAACTTTTACTGATCTATTTTTACCCGCTGCCTGTAAAAGCAACAAAAAGTCCTTTTTTTGCCTTCTTGTGTAGAAGAAAAAAAAAAATAAGATAAATGGCTGTTACATAAATGGAGCCAGGGAGGCAGGTAAGAGACACAGGTCCAATGCTGCTGACTAGGAAGGATGGGAAGGTGTCGGTAGAAAGGTTGCGGGGAGGGGAAAGGATGAAATGGCTTGGCCTGATCATCCTGCACTGCAACTAGCTACCAGAAAAGCCTGACTGATTAAAGAAAGGATCTCTCCAAGACACCTTTAGATAGAGAAAGACTGCTCTAGGAAGGAAAAGGAGACCTCTGGCAAGACACGACATTGACTCATAATGGATAAATTGGGTTTCCTGCAGAAAGAGCAAACCCCAAACCCCCCCCAAATCCGGTACCCAGTAGAATCAGTGGGGAGTTTTGCAATGAACTCTACTGACACCAGGCTATGGCTATTACCCATACATTAATTAGAGGTTTGATTTTACAAATGGAGCTTCGAGGTGAAGAATTATACTGGAAAATGGCTGTATTTACAAAGGTTTTTATGGATTATGCATGTAGAAATTATGGTGCCTTCCAGAAAGCTTAAAGGAATGCAAAAGATCATCTCGTTCATAAGGTAGCTGTTTTAATTGGTGTCTCTGTGGTATTAACTATCAGATGAGTGAGAAGAACGTGGAGAAATGCCTGGTCTACATGTTTTAGCTCGTGTTTCTGGGCTCAGTGAAGAACTACCCCTCCAACCTGTGTTTCTGCCATTGCTGAGTGGGGCTGGTGGGTCGGTGCCCACCTCTTCTCTCCATCTCCATCTGCCCCTGCTGCCCACGTTTACTCCAGTACAGTACCATGGGAAAACTATCTTAATAAATATTACTCAGTGACAAGTAACATTTAGACTTTTTTTCTGCTGCCACCACCTTTTCACATGCCCCTGAGACCTAAAAATGTGGATGACAGTTCCCTTAAAATGATCTCAAAGCTCATTATCTGCAATGTCCAGTGCAGCGAGTGCCGGGATTGTGCCTTGGCTCCCCACAGGTGCAAATCCTGCACTCAGAGCTTGCCTAAGATTTTCTGATGTTAGTCTGAAGCCTGCTGCCACCCCATAGCAAACATAAATCTCTCCATCTTCTGTGAGATGTAATAATGTTTTTCAGAATATTTTGCAGTTGACCTCTATTAGTCACAGCAGAACAGAAATACAGAAGTGTGTGTTTGTGAAAGGCAGAAAAAAATAACTCCGTTGCTCTGGAAAAGACGGCTGTCGTCTTCGGTGATGGAAGGGAGGCAACAAGAAAATGGCAACAATGTGGAGGCGGGCGACTGAGACACACACCTAAAGGTAAAATCCAAAGTGGTGATGTGAGATTAAAGGGGTGATGTGAGACAGAACAATGAGACTCAAATTTTCAAATCAGGCTACTAAAACATACAGGTTAAATGTTATCGATCGAACTTGTAATCAAAGAAAGACCTGAAACGAGTCTTTGGGATGGATCCAGGCTTAAGCCGATGGCTGCTGTGTGGGATGAGGGAAGCTCGTGGTTCGCAGTTCCTTGGGGAGCCATCTTGCCCCTTCTCGTGACACAGGAAACAGTCATCAACACTTACAGGAGCAAGATCTTGCTGTTCCTTGGTGTTTCTGGAGCTCACCCAGCCATCAGGATGAAGCCACCACAACTCCAATGCCCAGGTGCCTCCGTGGACCTCCCCTGGAGCACTCCCTCTGCCAGGAACATGAGCACCAGCAAGAAAACTTCTCCCACAAGGGCAAGGAAACCAGATATCTCCTGGGGTGACACACACGTGCACAGTTCATCCGAAGGTAAATGCAAGGATTTATGTCAAGTTTAAAAGGAAAAATGCTCTCAGATGTAATCCTAGCTCCAGGTTCGCCCAGTCCTTGTGCTTTCCACAGGACATTTTGTGTCTACAGTCTGCATGACTGCATCTTCTCCTTGCTGCTTGTTAAAATCTCTTCCAGGAAAAATAACTAACACTTGCAGGATCTGAAAGTCTGATACATGACGTAGCATAGGGCAGTATGCTCTAGTTTTGATTCCTTCGTCTCTTGCTGCAGTCAGCTTTTCAGCTTACCCTCTTTGGAGCCTGCCCATGGGATGATGGTGGTGGTGGTGGTGGGACAGCTCCTGGTAGGGACTGGAGCAACTGGCTGGTCAAAACCACACACCGCTGTGTAGGTAAAAACATAACCTCTCCCACGAGAAAGTGTCTGACACAGAGGTTTCACTGCAGATCACAACCAGGGCATATGAAATGAAATAAATAAAAATTGGGCAGGCAAGGTGAGGGCAGGGAAGCTCTTTCTGAGCTTTCCTCATGGTTTTCACCTCAGATAAGGTTATTGAAGACCAATGCGGACGAAGGGGAAAACTGCTGGAAAGCAAATGTTGAATATGCAGATGGGACCAAATAGAGGGAGTTTTAACTGGCGCTGGTGGTTGCAGAGTCGGTTGGAAGACTGTGCAAAAATCTTGGAAATGCCCATGGGTGAAAACAGGTGGTGCTTCTCAGGCCCTGATTCACAGTCGGAAAAAAATAGCAAACAGAACTCATGGTGCCCCACAGTCTTGTGTCGAAGGCAGCGTTTACGAAGCAAAAATAGAAATTTTGTATGATGCTGGCGAATTCTTTTTTTTTTAACTCTGAAAATACTGTACAAGGATGCTCTAGCTCCCCTCTAATGCCATAAACTCAAAGGCATGGTCATAAGGGAAAAACAAAGTGAAGCTGGAGTACATGAGATAAAACGAACAGGACTTGCTTGTGGCAATGCTACGATCAACTTCCTGGGAATGAGGGCCCAGCGGAGAGCTACGCGGAATAGTCAGTTGGCCCTTAGGTTAAAAGACAGCCCCGCTGCAATAAGTCATGAGGCTGAGCCTCCTTAAAACTGCAAAACGGGCTGCTGGATGAAAGTTTCTTCCAAGTTACCATTGCTGTTTAGAAGCAATAATTCGGGACTCCTGTATCATTTTTTTTTTTTATTGCATTAGGAAACGAAACCTTTAAAGCATTAAGACAGCCCTTTTATGTCCCTGCCAAAAGGATGTAGTTGATTCACAAGACACATTACGCTGCTGGCCCCAGGCTCCTTGTCGAAGAGTGCTTTATCTGCCTGCCTCTGTCTCTTTGCCGCGTGAGAGTCGGTTCGGGGGGAGCTCACCCGGTGGCATGCGCATGCATGGTCAGTTTGGTTCACAGTGTCATGGTGAGAGGCTACTCCATGCCACTCCGCAGGATCTGGTTGGCCGCGATCAACATCACGCTTATAATAAAGGCCATGGCGAAGGCGCAGATAAGGCTCTTCCGTACGCAGGTCTGTCTGTTCTGCTTCTGGGCGTGCACTGCAGGGAAGACATGGGAAAGATGAGATGCTCGGCCGAAGTAATGCTTTTGCTTTCCACCTGGGTCAGCTGAGCTCAGAAATCCTCTTTTGCCTCTGATTATCACCTTGGCATAACCCTCTAGTCCACACCTCAGAGATCCCCTGCACCAACCTGGTCTTACTTCTCACTGCTGGGATATTGCCAAATAATCCACCTTACCCCTCATTGCTTTCAAACCGACTTTCCTAATAGACCACCCTCTCATACTGCAGGGAGTCCTTTTTTTTTACCAGTAGAGTTGTAGAACACTGGAACAGGTTGCCCAGAGAGGCGGTGGATGCTCCATCCCTGGAGACGTTCAAGGCCAGGTTGGACGAGGCCCTGAGCAACCTGATCTAGTTGGAGATATCCCTGTTCCTTGCAGGGGGGTTGGACTAGATGACCTTTGAAGGTCCCTTCCAGCCCTAACCATTCTATGATTCTATGATTCTGTGATTCTCAACTTGGCTTTTAAACCCTTCAAATGCTTATGGGTGTGTTTTGGTTCATCTGTGTATTTCTTTCAAGCTCTTTATGAAGCTCTCTTGAAAGTTCAGAAATATTGGTGTTCTGTGAACCCCTTAGACTCATCCAGGTCAACTGGGACCAAGCAGAGATTCGAGATGCGCTCCCTGACAACACTTAAAAACCCCACTGCGATAGTTCCCATGAGTATGCATGATACGTTAGTCATTTTTCCAAACTGTCTTTAGGTTTTATGTGCTTAAGCAAAATCAGACTTATTAAGAACTTTTTCAAATGAACGTTTGCAGAATAATTGTCAAAAGAGGTGAGGGTAATTTGCAGCAGTTAAAATGCAGAGTTGGGATTTTTAGTGTTTGACTTATTTTACTTAATTTTTTTTAAGTTCATCAGTGGGGATTCATGTTGTCACTTGCTAAAACCAGTTCGTGCCTCTGTCTTAGCCTCCCTTCCCATGAATGATCAGAACAATATGTTGTATTGGGGAACCGTGAAGACTAATCTGTTTGCAAAGGCCTTGAAGGTCCCCTGAGATAATCTCAGAAAGTCAGAAGATCCTCATGCATGGGATGGATAGTTCCTCCCTGCTGCTATGGGCAGTAACACCTGGTCTTGTTTTGGCCTGAGAAGGGGTGTATCCACCACATTGTTCTCATGTATGGACTTCTGATAATGGGAGACTTTTGGATGGTTGACAACAAGCTCAGAATTACAATAAACCTACTAATGTGACCAGGAAAAGGCTCCGAGTGCCCATGTTTGGAAAAGTCCAGGAGAATGTTTTTAGAATATATGGAAAAAACCCTTGTTCTGATTCAGGCTTGAACCTCATCGCACAGAGAGCGGGGAGCATTGGACACTGCATTTTGAACACTTGTTTCATCACCCCTCCCCTCCTCTGGCCAGGATTTAGTGGTGCCTGTGTCCTAATCCCAGCTCCCACACGGTCCCCGAGCATCAGCTCAGCACCGGAGGCACAAGAATCCCTCGTTAGGCAGCACTTTGAGTCAGGCTGCCCAGGGCAGGGAAACACTGCACTGTCTGTGCTCCAAGGGACTCACTATATTCCGAGCAGATAATGAGATCCACCTTACGGCAGCTCTCCTAAATTACTTGCTTTCTGCTTGCACTGCTCTGCTCCTCAATTCCTTCACTTGCTTTTGTAATGGACACAGAATCAATACTGTGGTTCCTTGGTTTTATGCATGATGCCTCGGCGCTTTGAAAAGCTTGTTAAATCACAGCTTTAGTTATTTCTTTATTTATTTTTCTATTATTTCTCTACTTTGGAAACGCTTCCAGCCAGCAGACAAAGCAGTGACATACGCCGTCACGGTCAGCATTGCCGTTCAGTGTGGGGCCCTGATGCTGATTACAGTGACTGGGTGAGCAGTCGAAGACTGGCCAAGGCTTTTTGTGATGGCAACTCTCCTATTCAAAGGAAAAAAAAAAAAAAGCATGTTCAGTGTTTCTTGCAGAAGTGTTCCTGAATTGAACAATTTCTTCAGTCTTCCATTATACCATGAAGTAAAAATAGAGCTTTAAGGCAGTGGGATCCAGGTAAGTCGTTGCTATTGTTCTTGCTATTGAAGGAACAAAAAGTAGCCAAATAACCTACCAAATAACTCCAGAAGAAAGAGGAAAGGTCTGTGCTGCAATGTAGAGATGTTGCAGACCCAGAGAGACCCTCTGACTGTTGGTTGTGGCTCAGCAGTAATTACTTCAGCAAGAAGATGAGTATTACAGTTCCTCTGCCCCCTTGGAATGCACAGGGAGACAAAGCAGCTGAAATTACTGACTTTCTTAACTGTAAACACGACTAGGTGCTGCTCTGTGTATTGCCCTCTTAAATATGAGGACCCATCTGCCCTCTCTGCTAACTGGTGAGCTTTTGCCCTCAAGTCTCTCTTTTCTCCAAATTCATAGATCCTTTAAGCGCGTCATCTGCGCTTTTTCCTGCTGGTTTCCATAGCTGGCATTGTCACAGGGCTGGATGCTCGATCTGTTTTGCACGTGGTTGCCAGCAGCAGTTTTTAAAACCCGTGGGAAGTTCTGGGGTTTGGACATGAGCTGGTTCCTTGAAGCCTGAAGCTTCTCTGGAGATGTCCCAGCCTCCTCTTAGAGGAGAGAGCAACTCCCAGGCTGTCCAACGTAAATGAAATCTCAAGAAGTGAAGGCAAACTGAGGCTGAGTCATCCTTCACCTTCTGAACATGCAGAGAACGTGCTGGCAAGGAGGACTCGCCATGTGGAAGAGACAGAGCTGCCACCACTATGACTTCTCCACCAGTACATGGGGTTAATGGCTCCAGCCTGCTTCAGGGTGCATTAGTTGGCTGTCAGGCTGGTCACGATGCCCACAGTGGGTTTGAGATGGTCGGAGTAAGCGCTGAGAGCCTTCTCACCTGCAGAAAAAAGGCTTGCTAACATGAACAGCTACAGTGTATTTATAGCAGCTTCTGTCACAGCCCTGCCAAAGGTGAATGATATTTGCTTTCTCTGGCTGGATGGAGTTATTTCCATTTTAAGAGGTCAGTTTTTCATTCCCAACCCTTAGCTGAGGAGTGGATGGTCCTAGTGCTTGTCCAGGGGGAGCGGGGTGGGGAGTGGTGGCAGCTCTTGTTCATCCAGTTAATTTGAGTGTCGGGGCTGAGGATGAAATTCCCACGGCAGGCAGCACGGGTCACCGTAACCCGCCAGCTCTCTTGTTTGCCACGAGCTTAATGTCATGAGCGTTTGAATAAAGGGAACTTCTAGACAAATGATTTTTGTAATACAAATTTTTGTTAGTACAATGTCACTGCAAACAGTTGTCCTTTTCTTGTGTCTCTTCTCATAAAAACGTACACTCTTCTTGGCTCCCAGCTTCGTTCTCCTGCCCTAAGCATTAATAAAAATTGAGAGAAAGGCTGAAGACATAACTGTGCCTCCCTCCTGGTGTGTTCTTTATTGGCGGCGCTGGTGTGGGCTGCTTGTACTGAGGAGTTGGGCATTTTCATCGCTTTGCTCTTCATTCAGAAGAAGGCAAATGAAAACTCCTAGAAATGCGTAGGAGGGGAAGTTGTAATGTTAAGCCCAGACCTGACATCTTGCAAACGACTCTCATGTTCAGAGTGAACTGAACAAAATCCTGGACTTGTCCCTGACCACATGGTATTTGGCTTAAAGCGTGTGTGTGGCTGTGTGTGTGTATATGAGCATGGGAGTGAGAGACAAGGCATATCCTCCGTGCTGGTACAGGAAGAATATTACATAGTTGTGAAGACCTTATTATGACAAGAAGCGAAGACGGCAAAATTGTGAGAATGACAGAGATGTGTACCCATTTGTGCTGATGGTGATGTTTCCTGTATGATGCTGTTTAGCACCTGGCTGGGCTGAGCCAGCTAACCCCAGGTGTGGAGAAGGGGGGATGTCTCTGTCCACGGAATGGAGAAGGGTTTCGGGGCTTCTTTTTGATGGTGAGGTGACAGTGATTGGAGATCTTCATTTCAGCAAGATACTACTGAAAGTATCTGCTGTGTCTCTTCCCTTAGGAGCCATTCCCAAATCTCAGTGAAAACCATCAGGGTTCATCTTGGCTTCATTCCTACCCATAATTAAAGGCACTTCAACGAGGTGGATGAAATGTACATTAAATATACATGTGACCCTCTAAGCTGGTCCCTTTAGGCTGCCTTTACAGTTGAAAGAAATAGGTGCTTTTTAAGGTGCAATTAATCTGATCCCAAGGCAGCACGTAAAATAAGCTTAAGAAATTACATCCCAAAAGCATCTCCTTCACTAATTAAGAAGTGAGCAAAAGGTGACTGACTTACATGGAGACACTTCCGAACATCCATTTGTTGCGGTTGTCCAGAGATGTTTCGGCTGCCCCATCCCTGGAAGTGTTCCAGGCCAGGCTGGGTGAGACTTTCAGCAACCTGGTGTAGTGGAGGGTGTCCCTGCCCATGGCAGGGGGTTGGAACTGGATGATCTTTAAGGTCCCTTTCAACCCAAACCATTCTGTGATTCTATGATTCTTGATTTTAAATCTAGGCTGAGATGCTGTCCCACCTTCATGGCAGCTCTCCCATAGTGCCATTGCTCCACGCCTTGAGGCCCCATAATTCCTGCTTTTGAGTCCTGTAGGGATCTTAGTGTTTGGGAAATGGGAATGCCGCGGACAGAAGTGGGTCATTCAGGGAATGGCATGTCCAGCCTGGAGAGCTGCAGGGATGCAACCTGCTCTCAGCCTGCCTTTCCTGGCAGAAATACTCACGTCAGAGCTGCCATGGACCAGAATCGTTCCCTTCTTCTGGGACTTGCAGCAAAACTTTTTGTCTTTGTTGACAGTGTTCAGTTGATCTTTATTCTCTGGTGGATTTGTGCGTGTGTGTGTATTTCTAACAACATCTAAAAAAGGGTCTGTTTTGCTTCTAGGTTCTGCCTAGCACCACCAATGCCAACATCCCACGAGAAAAGCTGTTCTTGCTGTACTTTTGGAAGCTGGGACTTCCAAAATGAGATGCTGAGCATTTAGGTTTTCGGACCTGTTTTTTTCTGTTTTGTTTTTTTTTTTTGGTGTGACTGGGATAGTTCACCCAAGTACCGAAGCTGAAAGAAGCCTGCGTGCCCCTTGCTGGAGTGACAGCTGGCACGTCTCCACTGAATCAGCAGGTCAGTGGGGACTAACTCCATTCACGTAAGTAAACGTCTCTTCCTCCTTACTACTCTCCAGGAGGGACAAAAAAAACCCGTTGCTTGGCTTGATTCGAAGAGCATTGCTGCTTGCCTCCCTCCAGCAGGCTTTTTAAAATTCAGCTGCGCCATTCTGCATCTTTTCTGCAGTATTTAGCAAAGGGTGAGTGTGCTGGATGAAGCTGCTGAATGCCATTAATTAGCCAGGCTAAGAACCCCACTCATATTTTTATCCTTTGCTTTGTTTTAAAGACACTTTGGCGACTCTGCCTGGTGCCATTTCAGAGGCTATTTGACCCCTCAGAGCATCAGGATTTCCCCCTCAAATGGTCTATATAAAGTGGCCTTGCTGTGGGTGAGAAAGTGCGGTAGCTGTCCCAGGGTGACGTGCCCAAGCCCTGATGTTCTCTGTAGGTGTCTCCTTGGACTTTTCTCCACTTGAGGTGATTTGCACCCGTTTAGTTGCTCCAACCAGCAATGCTTTGGAGCAGCATGAGTTTCCCTGTCCAAGAAAATCCTCCTCCTAAGGTGGCTTAAAGTGGTTTCCTTAAATTGACTGCCCATTTTGGCAAAAGGGGAATGCTCTTGCCAGTGTTAGCTCCATTCAACGTGCAAAACCCACTGAAACAGTTGAGGCTGTGTCTGATCCCAGTTGCTGATCACTTACTCAACGGTCTTGTGGCACTGCCGAGAGGAGGCTGTGTTAAGCCACAGTGGCCGAAGCAAAATGTTTCCTTTTCTCTAGCTACCTCTGAGGGTTGCTTAGACCTGGATCTTGCAGAAGGTCTCACATGTTGCGATGAGCTGTCCTGGGGTGGGTCTGTGCAGCATATTGCACACCCACACCAGTGGTCCCAAACAAGAGATGCGCAGGGCGGTCAGGTGCAGAGGCACCAGCTCTGCTCAGTGCTGGTGTTACAATGCAGAGAGAGGGGACCCTCCCCGGCTGTTTCGTGGGAGGCCCGGGCAGAAGATCTTTTCTGTTTATGGAAAGACAACAGAAAATGGGTGGTGCCTAACACAGCTTTCCATGAAGTCTTTCCATGA